GCTGCATTTGACCATAACGAGAGACGGAAGCAACAAGGTCTTGAGCCAGAGCCTGAAACAGAACCCTTCCCGCTCTTATCCGTTCCTACCACTTCCTTAAGTGGTCCATCTCAAAGCATCACAAAGAATAGTGGAGACATGGTAGATAAACCTTTTTCATCCCTGCTGCGACCATCTGTAAGTTTTCCATCCTTAATGGCTACTGAAGGGTCTAATGCCAATCAAATACAAGTTGGCGATTCTCGTCTCAACCAGAGTGATGGTTTTATCAAAGGAAGAGGTTTTCTTGAGGTGTGTCAAAAGCTTAAGGGGCTCCACCCCTGGGCTGACGACACCTTGATTGCAGATGTCATGGCTGGTGTAAATGATTTCAATACGGCCTTAACATTGTTGGAAGCAATGATATCTCCTGATCATACATACGTTGCACATGACAACAGAAAAACCAAGGGATTTGATATTGACAATTTTTTAACTCCAAAAGAAGCAAATACTCCCTGCGTGGAAAAGTTTAAAGAAGGAGAGACAGATACTAAAGGTGTGAAGTCTAATAATGAGGCTTCTCTCGCGAATAACAGTAACTTTGCTGCTAATAAAGGTGTGTCATTGACCGACAGCGTGAATTTGGATGACTTGAGTCATGTGTTCGTTAAGTGTCTTCAGAGCAACAGTCAAGAACTAATAAACAACTTTGTTTCTAATGAGAACAAACTTCATTTTGATGGAGCAGCGGGGAGTTTGGGGCTTATACCAGTTGAGCCTGCGTGGGAAGAGGATGATATTTATTCAATCCATCGGAAGGACGCGATGAAAATGACGAGGTAAATTTTACTTGCACTTTGTATATAGGCATTTTACCTTTAGAATGATAATATGATTAAACGACCATTTCCTTGCTTCCCTATTTTAATTTCATTTAAGATTGCAAGGATGGTTTATAATGAAGATAAGGATAAAGTATACCAGCAGAGGGTCAAGCGTTGGCTGGGTTTTGTTCATGCCAGTAACTTGATTGAAAAAATGAAACCGTTAAGATTTTAGCCAAATGTGTTAAAACTGTGACTCTTATTTTACAAAAAAAACTTTGAATTTTTTTACCGAAAGTCTGAACCATGCACCAATTTGAAGAATCCAAAAAGAAATAAGGCAACATTCGTGAGAGGAAAAAGAATTTAACACCCTTTTCATCTATCCTCTCCTTTCTTTTACCTATCACCAGTATTAACACCTTTTTCGAAGTAAATATAGAAGCAAGTGGAAAGATGGGATGCAGACAATTTACAGCTAGAACACAATGATAGGGCACAATAATATCCCACTATTTAAATATCAAAGATTTCGATCATCGATTGATACAGATACTTAGCGGGGAATATATGTAAAATTCTACAGGTGCCACAGTAGTCCTACTTATCAGGGCAGCTAAGACTGGTATCTTGAGTTTGTGTTTCATGAAATCTTTTATATTATATACGTGTGAAGCTGTGGTAGTTGGTGAATATTTCTGTTGTTAGTGATATTTCTCTACATGAGGTGATACTCTCTCTAAGATCCTGTGAGCCGCAGATGTCTTCTCAAAGCTCGGCCTGGTTTGGTTGTCAAATAAATAATTATTCATATGTGGCCTATTTGGAGATGGCAAACTTTAGTATGAAATATTGGGAGAATTTTAGTGGCCAAACAACTTCAAGAACAAATATCATCTTTGAACAAACTAAGTTATGCAACATAATATGATGAAACAAACCATCTTCGTTCTTTGTTATATTTTCATTGCAACTGTAATTTTTAGAAGTTACATGCTTTTGAACGTGTAAAGCTCTTATCCTGGTTATTATTAAATCAATTCTGAGATCCTCTCTTCTTCTATAAACAGGTCAGCGNTATTAAATCATTCTGAGATCCTCTCTTCTTCTATAAACAGGTCAGCAGCTCGACACTCTAAGGCTGCCAGTGACGCCTATCTCAGAGGTGACCACTTATCTGCCCAACATTTTTCTCTAAAAGCCCAAGAAGAGTGGGTTGTCGCTAACAGGCTAAATGCCCAGGCAGCAAAGGAAATTCTGAGTGTCCGCAACTGTAAGAATGATGAATGGACATTCGACTTGCATGGTCTTCATGCAACAGAGGCAGTTGAAGCTTTACGAGAACATTTGCAAAAGATTGAATCTCAGGTGAATCGTGCTGGTCATATGAATCAAGTGAACTTGAAGCCCAGCTTTGGAGCTGCTGTATCTGTTGAAACTTCAGATCGTATTGATGTGGATAATGAGAGCAAAGGATCCCTGATGAATAAGCAGCGACCAGCTTTCTTGGAGGTCATAACAGGTATTTTTCTCTTGAAAAGTGTTGCTCAAGGATATGATACATCTTATAAGTAGAGATGTATTCACCAGCAACATGTTCTTCAATGTGGTTGTAGTTATAAGTTGCGTGTTTGAACCTGTTTTCACTTATATCTGGATGACTGTCACTTCACCACTCACTCTATATCTTTAGCTCTAGGCATTCTGTTGCTATCTGGAAGTATTGTGAGAATGGTGTGTTTTCTAAAAATGTTGTGCATTAGTTGCTTTAACTCGGAAGATTGAGTAGCCTGCTGTGACTTGCTAAGCTTGATACGTGATGAATCAGTATCAAGAGCTCAATTTCATACATGTTATCAGGTCATAGCATCACGTACATAAATGAGTCTGTAATCCTTCCTTTTAATAAAGCATACTTGTTATGTTGATCATTCTTCCCAGCGTGGCAAAACTTCTCATGGATCGTCATTTGTTTTTGAATTTTATTAATTGGAGCATCTTTTGTTTACTAGTTTAACTGATTACAAGCATAGGTTCGTCTGACTAGTCTGAAGTGTTGCTGTATCCAATTTCACAGGTAAAGGAACTCATAGCCGGGGACATGCTGCCCTTCCATTGGCCATAAGAAGCTTTCTCATCGAAAACGGGTATTATTCTCTTCCTTTAGGCATACAGGTCCTCCAAGTGCTCTAGTTTGTGCGGTTCTAATTTTCTAAGTCAACATTTAGCAAATGTTCACTTTACCCAGTCA